AGAGAGAGAGAGAGAGAGAGAGAGAGAGAGAGAGAGAGAGAGAGAGAGAGAGAGAGAGAGAGAGAGAGAGAGATGTTCGAATCATTCTTGCAGCGCGTCTCATGTGCTGCGGGGTGCCACACACACATGCACGCACGAACAAGTGATGCGGCGCATTAAAAAAACAGAAAAACAAAATTGTCCTCGGTGTGTTCAGCCTCTTTTCGGAAGGATCCCTACAGCATATTAGCCAGGACCCGAGGTCAAGCAGAGATACGCTTCTAACTTGTACTCCTTGAGGGTGGGCAGAGAATATATAATCTGGATTGGAATTCAGGTCTGTGCATATCGGTTATGGGTCACCATTTCTCTGTTTTCTCGCTTTTCTTTTATTTTCTCGTTTTTCTTTTCTTAGGAATACGTGCAGTGGCCCTAAGGGCCTTTACTCACCAAATGCACAAAAGAGAAAACATATGGTGGCGTATTATTCCACATTCTGCGCCTGGCCTGTGAAATGAGCGCATGAGGACGTGTGCGCTCACGCAGTGTGTGCGCTCACTCAGTATATATGTATATTTTTTTTTAATGGAATTGGCAGTTAGGTAATGAATCGTGAATGGGAACTAATTAGGTTAACCCAATTAGTCAATCGATCAATCTGCAAAGGTTTGATCCCTCGGCATAACTGCATCCGGCACGTGCCCGTTTTAAATGAAGGCCGGCCCTTGAATTCGTCAATTTTTGCAAATCTTGGTCAGCGTCAGACAGTTGTCAGGCGCCAGTTGGCTACATTCGCAATGCTCATGAGAATCCACAGTATTTGTGAGTCCTTCAGGCCCTTCCGGCAACGTGGTCCAAGCAGGGAGCATTGCACATTTGCACCTGGGTGGTTGGGCATGCCTAACCAATTCGGTCCCGGGCCACTGTCTGAAAGGGTCTGGGCACAGACACTTTGGACGGGACTGAAGGTACTCGGAACTCGGTCTTACATGGGGAAAAACAAGCAATATGCCCGCCACTTTCCGTATAGGAAAGGGCAGGGCGCCAGAGGAGGTATTTGTGCACTTGAAGGCAGATGCGGCAGCGCTGCTGGAGCGATATCTCGCAGGCTGCTGCACTAGCTGGTGAATGCAACTGTGCGTGCGCGTGCGGTCGTGGAAGAGGAAGGGCACTGCTAAGGGCAGCGCCATAGCCAGCACAACCATAGCTGGGCTTGGCTTGGATATAGTCAGCGGAGGTGGTGGTGGTCTTCGTGTACGGGAGGAAGACGTGGGTAGACAAATCGAGGGAGTGAGAGAGAGGTGAGGATTATGATGTGAGGGCACATACCTGGTCTTGGCAATAGTCTACAAGGGTCGACGTCTTCGTGTACGTCGGTTCTGCTGCTGACATCAACAAGTTGCACTGTCAATTCATAGGCTGGTAGTAGCTGCGTGATAGTTGCGTTGAGCGCCAAGTAGGAGGAGAGGCTCTGAATACCTACGTTGGTGATGTCGAGAGTATGCTGTCATTGACATTCAGATTCAGTGCTTTGGTTCTCCATTGGTGATGGAGGGGTGCAATTCTGCTTTCTGGACAGCGTTGGACTCTCTGGCTTTCAATGTGATTTTGCATTCTGGAATTCTACCATTTTGGCTATTGTTCATTTTCCTTGCCAATCAATCAATCAACCAATCAATCAGTCAATCAATCAATCAACCATCAATCAATCGCAATTAATCAATCAATCAGTCAATCAATCAATCGATTGATCCTCCCCTTTTGCACGTCAGGTCAGGTTGAAGTCCTGATTTATGTGCGGTGCTCCGATACCAATTGATACATGCTCAGTTGAGCAATGTATATGGAGCCAAGGATCCGCAAAGTGATGGAAAGGACTCAAACCGACAATGCAGTGTCAGCAAAGCATCAACAAACAATGTACATCCAGATACATATGGAGATACCACGGATGAAGAGATGGGGGAGAGGTGAGATGAAGATGGAGGTGAGGGAGGAAACGAAGATCGCGATAGGGAGTCCAAAAATATTCTCTTTGCCGAATGGCCAATCAATGTCTGCCACAAAATGTTGAATCAGATCCTGGGCGTCATGCCTGATGTGACCTCTGCCTGTAACCCCTCTCTCCCTCTCTGAAAGAAAGGAGGAGGAGGAGGAAGGAGGGAGAAGAGATGGAGGGTGAGACGATGACGTCGTCCTCCTCGCTGTCTCGCCTGCAGGAAACTGCTGACATGTGCTGACGGCCATCGTGGTCCCTGTGCAGGTCACTGGTGTGGAGCGCGGCTATGGCACCAGGTAAGTACCGCCGCTGCAGGTATGGCCTCTGGCTCACCTCCTACCTACACCTCTACCTCTACAGAGCAACGCTGTGTCGCGCTGCTCCAGCAGCGTGTAGGCTGGGCCTCGCTGGTGTGCCTGCGTTTGCCATTGGTCCTGGTCTCAAACATGGCCTGCCTGGGTCCCTACCGGACGTCCAGGCCCTCCCTGCTGATGTAGCAGGGAGTGTCGGCTATCAAACAAATGCGGACCTGGCCCCAAAGGGCCTGCTTGTGTCCGTACCAGGCCCAAAGTGTGGCCTTTGTCCGAACAGACACAAGGTCTGTTCGAACGTACCAGGCCCAAAGTGTGGCCATTGTCCGGACGTACTGCAAGTCCGAAACAATGCCTGAACAGACAAAAACAGGACAGCAAATAAATAAGTAAATGAATGCTGTCTCAAGTCGAAACCTGTGGCCCTTAGGCCGGCCGTGGGCCTCCAGGGCGCGCGCCTGAAGTGTATGCGGACTGGGGCCCCCAAACAACCGCCGGGCCCTCAAAATGGGGTGTGTGTGCAGGCTCAGCATGTAACAGACGCACACACACACACACACACACACACACACACACACACACACACACAGAGAGAGAGAGAGAGAGAGAGAGAGAGAGAGAGAGAGAACTCAATTTTGGAACTCTCCCATGAGCAACTTTTGTACGAAGCTTCCCCTCCAATGAAACTAAGCGAAAGAGAGAGGGGGGAGAGAGAGAGAGAGAGAGAGAGAGAGAGAGAGAGAGAGAGAGAGAGAGAGAGAGAGAGAGAGTCGGAATCTCGACCCCCCCCCCCCCACGAGCAAGTGTATTATCTGTTCCGATCAGTTTCATGTATGATCCGTGGTCGATCGGAAAAAAAAAGAAAAAAGGAAAGGAAAAACTGTGTGCACGCGCATGAGAGAGAGAGAGATGGTCGATCGGAAAAAAAAAGAAAAAAGGAAAGGAAAAACTGTGTGCACGCGCATGAGAGAGAGAGAGAGAGAGAGAGAGCTACGACGGCCCCCTCCCCCACCTAGTGTATTATCTGTCCCGACGAGTTTCATATCTGATCTGCGGTCCGTCGGGAGCATTAAAAAAAACAAAAAAAGGAATGGAAAAACCACACAGGGCATGTGCTCTTGCGCGCGTGAGAGATTGAGATTGAGATTGAGAGAGTAAGAGAGAGACCCCAAAGGCGTTCCGATTGTCCACGGATCTGATATGAAAGTGATTGGGACAGATACTACACTTGATTGTGTTTGGGGGGGGGGGGGGGGGGGGGGGGGGTGTAGTTCGTTAGATTGGGCTCTCTCTCGCTCGCTCGCTGGCATGCGAGCATTCGGTTTTTCTGTCTTTTCTTTTTTCCTTTTTTTAAAGGGGTCCTCGACCACGGATAAGACAAACCGATCGGAACGGATACTACACGTGATAAGTCTCTCTCTCTCTCTCTCTCTCTCTCTCTCTTCCCTGTAGGGGTTTCCGCGTTCTTGCCTCTGTTCCGTCCGCTCTCGTTGCTCGTCCATCGCTTCTCAGTCCCCGTCATCTTCCCCCGATTTTCCACTGACCCTCAGGTTCCCTCCTCCCCTCCCTCTTCCCCCACCCTCTAATGATGCACATCCATGTGCAGTTGCGATTTCCTCTCTCTCTCTCTCTCTCTCTCTCTCTCTCTCTCTCTCTCTCTCTCTCTCTCTCTCTCTCTTTTGCAAGTACTACTTTCCTTTCCCCGATCCCGTCGCTAGTTTTTGCCCGTTTTTCCTCCTTACTCTTCCATCACTTCTCTCTCTCTCTCTCTCGTGCAAGTACGACGTTCCTTTCCCCAATCCCGTCGCTAGTGTTTCCCTGTTTTTCCTCCTAATTTTAGTCTTAGCAAGTGGTTCCTCGCTCCCCAATTCTCCATCCTATCAAAACTGACACCGCATCCACCCCCTTCACCTCCAACCAGCTGTTCCAGACTCACATCATTGCCCTCCTCTTGCTGGTCTTTACCCCGCCATAGCCCCTCCCCCCTCCCCCACTATTACCGCTATTTCCCATTTTACAACTTCGCTCTCCACCTCCATATTTTCTTATTTTGTGACCCCATTTTCTCCACTTCATCCTCCACCCTTCTTAGTAATGATGTCTCTCTCTCTCTCTCTCTCTCTCTCTCTCTCTCTCTCTCTCTCTCTCTCTCATTGCGTGAGCTCACACGTCCTCGTGCGCTCATTTCACAGGCCAGGCGCACATTTCGTAGGTTGCGCATTCAGGAACGGAAGAGGAGGGAGGAGCGAGAGGAAGTTTGGAGGACGGAAGTCGGCGGAGAGAGGGGAAGGTGTGGAAAGTGGAGTCGGTGACAGAGGCTCGGAGGGGAGGGGGTATGGAGGTGGGCAAAGAGGGGGGCAGGAGAAAGCCAGAGAGAGAGGGGGGGGGAGGGGGGGGCGTGAGGTTCTTGGGGGGGCAATGCTACTGGCCCGAGTCTCCAATCTTGGAGCGGCGTTCAGGCGAGAGAAAGAGTGTGTGTGAGTGTGTTTGTGACAGAGACTCAAAAAAAGCATGATGGTGCCAGATTGTTTCGTTGGACTTTCACCCACTCATCAGGAGGTTGAAACCCGACAGTCTGCCCAGGATGCATTTGACTGATGGATAAGGACTCGCCACATCACCGAGAGTTAGCGATACCCCTGAGAAGCTCGTCTGTGAGAGAGAGAGAGAGAGTGTCGAGCTCGGCACTCCACGACACGGCGCAGGGTGCTTGACGACATGGTGTACGCACTAGAGGGACAAAGTACAACTGCACGCGACAATGGCGAAGGCGCTTCGCATGGACGCTTCAAAGACAACCTAGGGCACGCACAGCACTGTCACAGACTGAAGCGGCCCGTTCAAACAGAAAAAGCGTGCGGCACTCTATGGCGCTAAGATCTGGGACTTCGGTCCGGTAGGGCCCAATGGCCTGGATCTCGGCGCGGTGTTAAGATCTTAAAACTGCGTGGAGATCCAGGCCGTTGGGTCCTACCGGACTGACGGCCCAGATCCTAGATTTGTTACATCGTTCCACAGATCCGGGCTGTGGGCTGGCAGGACCGACGATGGCCTGGATTCAAGATTTGTCATGTTAGCGATTTTAATAGTGCAGGGAAGTTTGCTGGACTGAGAAGAAGAAGAAGAAGTGCCATTCTGAGGGCTGATAGCAGGGAGAGTGGTTGATGCTGTGTTCAGTAGCACATCATTTTCAGTTCTGGTTGATGCTGTGTGTTGAGGCCAGCTAGGTGCCATTATGGAAATAATTTCTGTGTCATATTTAGAACCTGAAGCAGCCCGTCAAACACGATGAATAGGCCTTTGTCGACTGATAGAACTATAATTTCCCAAGTGGCAAATGCGGCAGGCCTAGGCTAGGAAGCAGCCCATCAAACACGAAGAAGAAGCCCCATTATGAGGGCTGATAGCAGGGAGAGTGGTTGCAGCCTTATGCAGATTGCTCTGGTAGTCTACCACATCATTTGCACTTCTGGTCGATGCTGTGTGTTCAGGCCAGCTAGGTTCCATTATTGAAATACAAATTTCTGTGTCATATTTAGAACCTGAAGCTCCCAACGAAGTGACACCTCAATGAAGTGTGCAAGTGTGATGATGTATGCAAATGTTTGCGATTACAGTACGTGATCACCTGCTCTTACTACCCTAGCCTATTCTGCACCAATGTACAGTGCCGCAGAGTTGAATTCTGCTCCGACTGACTGCTGAACACGGACTGTACCACGCTGAAGCTCTTGCTGGTGATCAGAAGGTATCACGTACACTTACTACCCTAGCCTCTTCTAGACCAATGTACAGTGCTGTACCACCTCCATTCTCCAGGTGCGCAACCCAACAGTGGCTGGTGCTGTGTGCCCCAATGTTTGGTCACTGGCCTGTCAACAGTGCTGCATCCAAGGACCTCTGCTCCAGCAGCCTAGTGCGGTCTGTGGACTTACCAAAATACCCCCAGACTACCCCAGCCTCTTCCTTTACGCCACGTTGGGATCAGTGCATGTTGGTAGGCACTACCTGCTGGTACGTTGCAGAAATGGCCATGACCTGCCAGGATCCCAACCACCTAGCTGGAAGCCGAGCAGCCTGACCCAGCCTTTCTAAAATAGTCTGGCCAGGCCTTCACGTAGGGCCCTGCTGGTTTGTACCTGGGACGACCACATGGCCTTACAGCTGGATAATCTGTTGGACTTCTCAGTGTCATTAGGACAATCACATGTCGATGGGCAATTATTGGGATGGATTGTGCGAAAATAAACAGCGTGGAGTGGATTTTTGTGTGCTGGTCAGAACTGTTGTTTATCAGCGGAGATAGTTTGCTAGCCCCTCCCGGCTGGTCTTGGCAGGAGCCTGGGTTTCCGTCACCCTTGCTCCTGCCATCCCTCGCTGGGGGTTAGGAACCTAGGTACTACTCTCCCTGCATAGCGTAGAGTAGATAGACAAATCAATTCAGGCTTGAGCTAGCTACTGTTAGGCCTGCACTTAGGTTTAGGCTACCCCCACTAGGCTTTAGACTGTTCCTGGTATAGGTAGGTAGGTATTGGAAGCCTGGGAGGTATATTGAGTGAAGAACATAGCTTGTGCAAGATTAACGAGCAATAGCAAAATGACAGAAATCCAGATTGCAAATTCACATTGAAAGCCAGATGGTCGATCACCAGAAAGCAGAAATGCACTGAAATGACACCGAAGAAGAACCAAAGCAACGAACTGTTTCATACGGCTTCTCGTGCAGATTGAAGTTTTTTAATTAATTGAACATATTAATTGGATTATCAATTTATTCTCAAAATCCTGAATCTAAATTTGAGAATGTATAAATGTTTAAATAAAGTCAATCAAATAAGAATTTTAAGAGAAATATTCTATATATATGAGAAATATTCGATATATATACCTTATTTCTTAATATATAGACCTTATTTCTTAATTTCATTATTGATTAAATTCATAAATTATTTTTCATCAATTAATTGATCATGAAAAATTTGCAT